CGTAAAGTGGGGCTATTTGAAACGGATTTTACAGTTTTTGGCCTGTCCCTTTAAGACGGTTCATATTTCTTATAGCATGTAAATTGCAAAAATGTAGTTCTCCGTAAGCTCTTTCATAAAGGTGCATTTTGGTTCAGCTAGTAATAATGATTAAGGACATTTTTTTAGTTAAAGTCTGTCTCAAATAGCCCCATAGGGTGGGGCTATTTGAGACAGTTTTAGTTACGAAGAAATTGAAGAAAATCGGTCAGGCTAGAGATAATTTTTTAAATGCCATGCGATTGGAAATTAAATTTTGATCATTCTGGCAAAAATTGTTTTGCAAAGACAGTTATATTTCCTTCATATTCAATCTTTTCCTTTTTCGTAGGATGCTTCATTTCGGTAGGTTATAAAATTGCATCACTATATTCTAAGGCTATCATAATATGATGTGACCCTAAACTTTCAAATTTGCAGGATGACCATCAAGGACTATTTTAAAGTTAACAACAGTAAAATTTTGAAAGAAAGTTTTTGTATATAGCCCTGGTGGCGTGAAAACAGACATACTGAAAGTCGGTGGGGCTATTTGAGACAGGCTCGCTACCTAATGAAGCACACCGTAATGAATCAAACGAGCTAAAAGGTTTCCCAAAACATTTAAGTGAATGGTCTGCATAATTCCTTGTTCCATTGCACATCTTCATGCGAAGAAATAACAGAAAAATGTTAAGCGGTTTTGATTTTATGACGATTTTCCTCGATCGCTGCATGCTGTATCAATTGGCCGGTTACCCTACCACATCAAGCCTACTTGCATAGGCTCACCTAACAGTACGTTCATGTGTTAAGTAATCTTCAATGGTGTTTTTTGGTCAACTAAGGTAGACATGTGTTGATTGTCGACGAAGTCAGTGACTGATGAAGCACATTTAAGCACATATCCATCAGAATAACTAGTTTGGTCACCAGCTAAAGGGTCATTATGTTACACTACGAACATGTAAATATTGCTTGCTGCTAAAAGTACCTACCATGAACCCACTGCACGTTTATGATCACGACCGATTCATCGGTGTTGCTCATGTCGAACGTTCGATGCACTTCAAGTAGATGGTGGCAAGTCTTCTCGGGTGCAATCGCATCACCATTATCAGTAGCTATTTGGCATATCGGTTGAGGTTTGACCAGGTGGGCATCATCGGGATTCTGAGACAATGGGTTACGCAATCGGCAGTAACGTTAACAACGTATAATATTTTTATGAAAAATATGTTTAGCCTATAAGTAAAACGGCAGTAACGATAGATACAGTGCCGAAGCTGTTAAAATTTCAACTATGTCAAGCGGCAGGTAGGGGTCCTTTTCGAGCAACTTATATTGTGCGTTTTTCTGTATTTCGTATTTTACACTAAATTTCTTTCAAAACTTTTCGAAATTTTTCAAAAAGTTTATTCAGGTCATTCTCTGTTCAATTCCACATCAGCCTAAGCAAAAATGACGAAAAAATATCAAACGGTTTTCATTTTACAGCGATTTTACTAAACCACTACCTTACTGTCTCAAATAGCCCCACTGTCTCAAATAGCCCCACTTTACGGTACTTAAGCTCAATAGGGACGAAACGGCGAGGGGGTTTGCACCGTCTCCCCCACATCCCTTTCGGCCGGGCATATGTTGAAAACCAATATGTTCGAACCATATTTCTGTTTAGGTCAATGCTGATTTTTCAGCTTTTTTCGGTTGATCGAACATTCGAATAAAATCCAATGATATTGGTACTTTTTGTTCGGACCACTTATCTTTTCAGACAGCAGTTACCGGAAAGAGCTGCAAATGCGCCGCCGACCTAATGCTCTTCCATTCCCTCGTGCATCAACGATAACCAGGTAATACGTGGGGTCGGTGAAAGAGTTTGGAAAGTCCCGAGACTGCCTTCATCACTTTGATTAGACCTTTCCGGATGCTCGGTTTGTATTCAAAATATCCTGACGGCTCAACATAACAAGAAAGTTAACATAATAGCACACAACCACGCAATGCAGGGCCCAGTCTGGACCTAGCTAACAAAACGTGGTTTTTCCAAAATGTGGCGAGTGGCGACAAGATTATCGGTTTATTTGTGAAAAGCTGAACAACATTACAAGATTAGCGGCTTAGTATGCTCGGTGTGTATGTATCTTGAGCTTTATCAGTGGCCGGTAGTGTATTTGAATGGGACTAGTGGCGATAATGCTAATTTCGCTAGATCTAGGTATAAACGAGAACGTACCTACTCCTACTTCCTGCAGCACGGAATGGTGTAGCTTTGGAATCTGATGGATTATCACCTACTGCAATTGTTTGAAGTAAAAAATGCAATTAGAATAGAAATGTCGTAATTCATTGTTAGCCTTTTCATTCATCCCGTTGTAATAAAGGCTTATGACAATTTAAGAAAGATTCAATATAATTATCTGTGTTGGAGCTAGGAATGCTGCGATCAATGTGGTGAAATTATTTATATTACATGGTGTGTCGTTTTGCTGTGCTGAGCGTATTTACTCGTACCTACGTGTGGCATGCATGGGCATACATAGAGAGAGAGAGAGAGAGAGAGAGAGAGAGAGAGAGAGAGAGAGAGAGGGGGGGGGGGGGGAGAGAGAGAGAGAGAGAGGAGAGAGAGAGAGAGGGAGAGAGAGAGAGAGAGAGATAGAGAGAAAGAGAGAGAGAGAGAAAGAGAGAGAAGAGAGAGGGAGGGGGAGGGAGAGAGGGAGGGAGGGAGGGAGGGAGATGTTAATTCTCACAATCGAATCGCCCAAGTGAATTTGTTATTTCTTTTTATCACCGGTCAGTGGTCACGGCTCCGCATCGGCACGGCAATACGAGCGCATCAATCGGCAACTCAGAGTACCTAACTACATGACGGATTAATTCACGTCAGCCCTTAGCTTCAGGATATGAGCTCATTTGGACGCCAGATTATCACTCTGACGTAAAAGGTGAATTGGGGCTGGATCGACTGCAGCCTCATCCCGCCGACCGTGTCACTATCTGGGGCTGCGATCGGCCTATCCGCCGAACAAGGTCAATCCGCGCGCGGTGTGACGCCCGCTTTAGCAGCTCATACGTCACAGGACCTATGCGGACGTGATCAGAAGATCACTGAGGCGCGATCGGCGCCCTTCATTGAAGTCGTACTGACATCACCCGATTCAAACAAGCTGCGGCCGGCGAGAGCCGAGAGGTAACCGCTGATCAGGGTAGTCAGCATGTAGGGAAATTTGGTAACGTTATTTTCTATTAATAGGCTGCTCGAGATCTAGGTACAACATCTATCGCCGTATTTTACACCAAATATAGGATCAAACCCATTCTTTTGTTTCTGTTACTCTCCTATTTTCTATAAAAGTGAATGAATAAATAGTTGCATTTTATAGCTAAATATATAGGAAAAGGCGGGACAAGACGGCCACCGTAACATAATTAACCCTCGCCCCGAGTCGGGATAATCGAAAACTGTCAGAAATTCATAAAGCGAGGTTGTTATGAGGTTTTTCGGGGTGCTGATCACAAACTTCATGCTAGTTTTGATTACAGATGATGTTTTCATGCATTTAGGCCAGGTCGGGTCAAGTCAGGCTAGCTCAGGTCAACCAGAGCTCGTTCTGACGGGGATTTACAGTTAGGTATAGGTGCCAACCACCACTGACAGCTTTGTAACACGTTACGGAGGCACAAAAACTACTTCGTAAATGTTCAAATGGCTGCTAAATTCGAATTCAGGTAAAAAACTAGTTAAGAGTACCTAATGAAGAACACGAAAAAGTGAACAAAGGTCATCAAAGGTCAATGACCTGACCTGACCTTCACGTGACCTTGACACCCACATAATGCATGGGACCAGCATCATTTCACATGTTTGAACGTTTAAGATCACAAAAAGACTGCAACCGCGCGGATAATGTGAGCTGCCTCTGCCGAATCGCGATTCAGGTCAAACATGGTCTCGGGAATTTGGTCACTGGTCAAAGGTCTTTTGGGTCAGGGTCAGTACCTAAATTTTCAGGGTAGGTATGTGTGAAGTTGATGAACTCTATGGTAATGAAAGTTTCGTCGTGATCGGCTGCGTTTTACGCGAGTCATTCGCGAAAAACCGAGGGGGCCAGTCAAACCCCCCTTTCCTAATTCCATTTTTCAACTGCTTAGAAAAAGGTATCATCTTGCGTGAAACTGAGTGAAAACGTTCTTTGGACATTTTATTTTAAAGTTCCAGACGATAATACCTGCTTGGAGCTGATTTGGAAAACGCATTGTACATAGTTATTTTTCTCAAACAATTTCTAAAACCCTTTTTATCCCACCCCATGAGGTAAAACGGCCATGTAAACGGTTCCACCTTTTCTCGGCTGGGTCTACCTAAATGACATGCCCAAGGCTGGCGCCTGGCGGCATTGATATTTGATACGGTCACTCGGTAGTGTCAAGTGCTTCGGAAAGGGTTGTAGGTATACATACGAGGTAGAATAGGAGAATTGTGTTGTTCATACGTGACAAGAGAAGGGCTTTGGTCAAGATTCGTAAAGCAGAAAGCTTTGGTAGCGTCAACTACATAGGCGGCGGAACGGGGAGGGCACCGGGGCACCGTGCCCACCTTTGATTTTGGCATTTTAACATTAGCCCTATGGGCGTTGCATAGAAAGAATGGGATCAAAAGTCGGCAGTGCCCCCCCCCCCCTTGAAGGTGTTCCGTCACTGTTGGTCAACTAATAAGTAATAACTATACGCAAGACAGGCGTTTACCGTTGGGTCGTACCTAAATTGTTTTGTAGGCAACACCAGCCGCTGACGAATGTTACTTTTCGATTTTACATACAAGATATATGTCTTTACAAATATAAAGCCCAAAATTAAATTCTGAGCTGTAAAATCTGTATATTACTGTATTACTCAAACTCAAAAATCAATTCAACGGTGTGTCAAATACATAATCGACATTTTACAATATTTAGTAGCGGCATTCAGCAGCAAAGTAGGCGAATGGTGCTATTTTGCGTCGTATATGTATTCCAAATGACAAACATATTTTTGAGGGGACAGAGTTGTGTTGTATTGCCGGCGATAGTTGGGAATATTTTTGATGTTTTGTTATTCCTGGGTGTGAGAAATAACCGAAGGTCTAGGATATTCGTTGAGTGGCATTGGGTATCATAGCCGATCAAACAAGTTAGACTTAGATCAAAATGTCTGCCGCTACAGCCCTGGCACCTCAGCCTTCGACAACCGGCTTTTCGTTCGACAATTGTCAAAGGTAGGTTTTAAGTTGCATATTTTTTTATTAAATTTCTAGTGTACCCTTGCCCCGATTTTCAAGTCCACTTCGCGACTTATTTGAGTCGTGTGCTGTTGCTTTGTGAACGTCAGTTTGCCCATTCTGATAATAATACCATTCCAATTCATAACTAACATTGCAATAAAATGGCCAAGAATTGTAATTTCTTGGTAATTTTTCAGTGCAAACATCAGTCCATTGTTTTGCAGCTAGCACAGTATACCCTGAGAAAATCCCCTGTCCCGGACTGCAATCGTTGTAGTTGTTTCGTAAGGTAACATGCTTGATTTTGTTGTGACAACAAATCTGAAATCTTTTGAACTTCTTGTGTTTTTTCATTTTATGCCAATGACAGTTTCTTTCAAACTTGGATCCTTCAGCCAATAAAGTTTGTGCAAGGTAAGGTACTATTTGGTAACAAGTAGGTATAATGAAAGTGAATTTATTTATGACCTTATGCAAGCACAGTTCAGCACGGTCATGACCATGACCTGAGCTTTTTCAGGTAGGTCACTAGGCACCTATCTACATTTTCACAATTTGTTACAAATATAACAATCACATTTTTATAGAATTGTGAAGTTGGCAAGTTTCTTTTTAGCCTTAAAACACTTAAAGATACCAGAGGAAAAATAGGTAAATTGCTCTGAAAAGTCTGTCAATGACAGACAGTCAATTACCCCGTATACATGAGTCATTCAGCCTAAACGGAAATATCCGATTAGCCAGGGAATGGAAAAATGTGTTTCGGTGGCCCCGTTTACATGAGCCTTATCGGAAAAATCCGTTCCGGAACGGATAATTCCCTTTACGCCGGCAGCCCGAAAAATACGGATATTTTGCGCATTTTTACATGTCTGGCGCAGCTCCTATCAAGCATTATTTGTGCTTGTTTTAGGCTTAATTTACTTGATTCTTTAAAGTTTTGTATGTAGAATTGGAAATAATCATGGCACAAGCCATTATTTTACTTGTGTGCTGTAAAAGAAGTGTGATTAACTGTCAGAAAGCAAGAAAACAATTGAGGTCTTGGACAACATTGAAGAGCACATCTATATTGAAAGTCTTTTTGGTTTCAGAAAAAGGCTAAGACAGCTCATAATAGTCATAGCTCATCATGATGGACCTCCAGTAAGTTGACAAAATAAAAATGCATGACAGGATGTGCAGGATGGTGCCACACTTCAGAAAACATTGGTATGAAAGTGGGTGGTGCGGGATTGTGTATACATTTTTGGTTGACATTTTGATTTGAAGCACTTGAATATTCCAGCATTTTATTTTCATTTTTTGCTTTTAGCTGCTCAGTTCTTCAAAGACAGGGTTCAGATCAGTACTAGGAGAATTGTGTAGTAGATGTGACCTGTGGGTGCATTGCTTGACTGTCGGTTGCAACACAGTATCCATCATTTCCATGTGTTTTAGTCATAACATAAATTACATCTACTCACCACCAAACTTTAAGACACTATCAGTGCAATTTTCAAAATGCATAGAATAATCCACTCTCAATCACACCAGGTAAGATGTGAAGATGAAATCCGAGTGGTACCTATGTGGTTTGGTAGGTTGGTTGACCTTGTAGATTGGTAGGAAGTAGTTTGGTATAATAGGTTGTAGGCATGTAGGTAGGTGTGTTTGAAGGATGGTAGGTTGAAAGTTAGGTTGGTAGGTAAGGTTAGGTATGATTCTACAAATTCCACAAAACCTGCCAGTTGCCTGCTTCCACCATCCGAAATTAACCAAACTTTCAGAGACCTTCCCACCACTGAAGAATCTACTTCTTTGGAACAATAAGGTGAACATTTAAATATTGGTGGAGGGGGGGGGGGGCAGATGGCAGTGTCACTGAGTAAATTTGGCTGTGTGTCTTGTGTATATCTTGGCATGCAGCCAAGTTACTGTCCCAACGAGCCTGCGTGCCCTGCCGTCTGGTGGCTGTTCGCTGAAGCATAAGTTATCTGAATCACTGCTAGGAAGTTTGAAGTACCAAGGTAGAGAAAATTTTTGGGAGCATGTAGGTACTAAAGCAAAATAAATCAAGCATCATATCCAGTGTACCAAGCACTAAATGGCACTAGCATGCTGTTACAAGTGGCTATAGGGAGCGACTGGCTGGGAAGGCAAGGCTATGTTGGTTGTCCTGGAATTGAACCCTGATTGTTGAATCTAAGAAATAAGGAAATTACCCCTGAACTAGAATGCTTCCCTTTTGAAGCATAGGACGTTCCTCTCAACACTTATGTAGGTGCTTTATGAATCTGCCACAATGGCGCGAAATCAGGGGCAAAAAGTGGATTTCATTGTCATTAGACCTACCATTAAAGATAAATATGTATTTTGATGTGTAAACTAAAAAATTTCATCTTTAAAACATGCATATTCATGTCATTTTCTGCTAGATGTGCAAAAAATCCGTTTAGGCCTGACGTCCTAAACGGATATTTCCCACTAATTCATCGGATATTTCCGTTCCGCGTAATCGTCATTTTTGCGCGCCCAAACCAGTTTACATGAGTCGAAACTTGCGCACTTTTCGCTAAACGGAAATATCCGTTCCAAACGTCATTTTCGCTGACTCATGTAAACGGGGTAACTGTCATTTTGACCAGTTTCAAATTTACTGGTCATTTAATAGAAAGGTTTTTATATTTCTGAACAACTGCCAATTTCTTTTTATTGTAATTTTGGTATGACTGTTGAGAGCATCGGCCTTGGTGAGCATTACAAATACTATTATTGGCTACATTCTTGATCACTTTATGCTCAAATTATTGTATGAAATCAATGCAAGAATAGAAATTCATATGTTTCAACTTGCAGTATCATCAGAATTCAGAATGTTACTCATGATAAAGATTGAAAACCTTCTGATGATGTAGATTGAAATACAGTAATTGCTTTAAGTAGCATGGTTACCTTCTTACCTAATGATCAATTTATTTTTATCCCACTTTAGAACCACTAGCTCATAAGGCTAAGATTTGTTTGAAGCAGGCTGAAGTTGATGGCCATTGGGTGGCAAAATGTGACCTTTCATTATATTCTTTGGTGTAGTCATTTTTACATTGATGAAAAATTATGTAGGTAGGTATTTCTGATTTGCTTCTATAATCCTTGCCAGGTTTTCTAAAGTATTTGCCATCTTTGTCTAACTTAAGTGATGGACAGAAGACAGAAAATGAAAGTAAATAAGAAAACAGTGGTTCTAATGATCTAGTTGTTGTGATGGATGTTAAATGCATTGGCACCAACTGCGCTTGTTAATGGTGAAAGAGAAATATGACCTTATTTCCTTTTTATTGTCGATTGGCCTCCAGGTGATCCCTTTAAAGTCAAATGAACGTGGATGACTTTTGTCATTCGAGCTAAGGCTGAATGAACGATGAACATCATTTTTCGCTGACTCACAAGGCTGACATGTGAGTCCGTCGTTCCCGGCAGAAATGCGGCGCTGGAGTCGTCTGGCATGGCTCTGCCGAAGGCCGTGAAGACGGGCACCACCATCTGCGGCATCGTGTTCAAGGACGGCGTGATCCTGGGTGCCGACACGCGCGCCACCGACGGCAGCACGGTGGCCTCGCTCAACTGTCAGAAGATCCACTACCTGGCGCCCAACATGTACTGCTGCGGCGCCGGCACGGCCGCCGACACCGAGCAGACCACCAAGCTGATCTCCTCCAACCTGGAGCTGCACTCGCTCAACACGGGCCGCCAGGCGCCGCTCAGCACCGCGCTCAAGATGCTGGCGCAGATGCTGTTCAAGTACCAGGGCCACATCTCGGCGGCGCTGGTGCTGGGCGGTGTGGACCGGCTGGGGCCGCACATCTACAGCGTCCACCCGCACGGCTCCGTGGATCGGCTGCCGTACGTCACCATGGGCTCCGGATCGCTGGCCGCCATGGCCGTGTTCGAGTCCCGCTACCGGCCCAACATGGAGGTGAGCGGGGGGAGGCAGGCGCGGGAGGGACCAACGTCAAAGGGTAGTGCTTTCGGGAGGGGCTCGATCAGGAACAGCTGGGTTACAGAGGCATACCATGCCTTAGTGTTTTCAGGCTCTTGTATCTTGTCGCATGACATTAGATGCAAATGTGCGACCACTTGAATTGTACCGCGTGTGTACTCGTAGGAAAGTGATTTTCGGTTATGAATTGTCTCAGGTAGTGATGAGTTATCGTATCCCATAAGCCGACGATTTGCACTTGCTGACCCTAAGTTCGCTCCTGTCCGCAATGTTTCTCAGCTGGAGGAGGGCAAAAAGCTGGTGCGGGACGCGATCGCGGCCGGTATCTTCAATGACCTGGGCTCGGGCACCAACGTGGACCTGTGTGTCATCACCAAGGACGGCGCACAGATGCTCCGGCCGTACGACGTAGCCAATGTCAAAGGAGCCCGGTGAGTCGTCGATCTTGTTAGCTATGCTACTGATGCTGTATACACTAGCCCCACGTGCTTATTGACGGAGTGAGTGGAACGGAAGTCCGACAGGATGACGTGACGAGCGACTGTGTCAGTGTATGGAGTAGTTACATTGCATGGATGAACGGGGAAATAGAACGACGCTGCACGCTCCTGAGAACATGTCTGGTTAATGGTCATCTGATGAGGCAAACTGTATGTTATACCTACCTAGTGAATCGAAGAGGCGAGTACCTATCACACTAAGCAATCTCGCAGCCTGCAGCCGCCATGGTGAACTTATGATACGCAGTGCCCGGCCATAATAGCTCACATTTTACCAAAGTTCAAGTCTCACGTCATTCAGCCCAGAATACATCGTAGTGCATTGTACGCCCTCGGAGCATCCCACTTACAGCCAAAACAGTCTGTGGTCTGTCGGATTATGACGGTGGGTGACATTCACAGTGCCGAGCTTCGGGTCAAATCCGCTGCAGCCCACTTCCTTGTCCCGCGCACTAATGGGCTCTCTCGCTGTCTCAGACATAGCTCAGTGGGTTTTTGGGTGGACCGCTCGCCCCCGCTGTCCCGATTGGGAGACAGCTCTGTGCCTGAGTTATGAAATTCTCTTTTCTGACGCTCCTCTCGGGTTTGTGCGAGGCGGCGGCTTTGGCAAAGGGAGTTGGGAAATTTGTCTAAGATGTACCTTGTGGGTTGGGCTGTTAGCATCCCACACGCGCGGCTCTGGAGGCTTCGGTCTCGAGATGAATTTGGAAAAGGTGCTGGAGGGTAGGAAGGCGGATCATGGACATTCTTGCACAGACCTCGTCATATTAATCAGTATCGTGATTCCGAAAAAAAAACGAGAATATCTCCAAGGATTATCATTCGCTCGGAAATCGTAACACACAGGCGAATGGTTCTTCAAACCTACGTTTGAGTCGATGAATGACTAAATTACCCACTTAGTGTGTCAACAGCAGGCAAAATGTTTATATTTACCTAGCCAAAATACAAGACTCATGCCTTTTGCTGCGGCTCCAGTCCCCGTTCTGACTCTGTCCGCCGGCCTTCCACAGCCAGGAGCGGTACCGCTTCAAGCGCGGCACCACGGCCGTCCTCAAGACCCGGCTGCGCAAGTTCGACGTCCAGGAGGAGGAGGTGGTCAGTATGGACACCTCGGAGGCCAGCGGATCCGCCTGAGGTGCGTGCCGCTGCCGCCGGAGGAGGTCCCCGTCCGCCGCCGGGGCCGCCTCCGCTGCCGCGCCCGCTCGCCGGGGGGGGGGGGGGTGACTGTCTCACTGCTAGCCGGGGACTCGCAGCGGCCGGGACTGGCACCCGGCTGTGTCGCCATCTGCTACTTTGAACTGTTCTGTGTCACGACAAATAATAACGTGGTGATGATTCTGGTTGGCGTTTTGTTAAGGGTAAATATTTTGATGTTTCGGTGCTGGTACATTAGCACGATTCCTCCCGTTTTGTTTCCTTAGATCTAAGTGACAGTTTTTGTTAAAGGGGGAACAGAACATCAAACAATGAACTAAATAATTTGATGGTTGTTTCAATTAGAATTTAAAGCCGTCTTTGAAGCGCCGTTTTTCGTCCTTAGCGAAGTTTTGTAGAGGAAACTGCTTCTTCTGTGTTCTCCTGACCCAATAGATCCCCATCTGAAGTGTGCTCACTGGTCAGATTACGAATACGCCCCGAGTCGGTGTTGGATGTTCACTCACCCCACCGGGCACGTCAGTGCTGCGGTTGCGTACGCTTTGCTCTGTCACACTGTCGTTCTATGTGATCTTATTCACGAGCAGAACACTCCCAATATTCAAGTGTGATGTATTTCACAACATTTTGGCACCATTCAGAACAAGAACACTGGGTATGCCCGTAGCAGACTGACGACATGAACATGTGGCCTACATTGGCTTAAGCCGCTGGTGTTGCCGGCGCTCTCGTAGTCAAGTTTTCTTGGCTTCTCGTGCATACTTCACTTCGAATAACATAGCGCTATATGATGCTAAAAGGGAGTGGAGGGCTGCCCACGTTTTTCCCTGGTGTAGGTCTGTGATTTTCAAACGGAACGGGATATGAACTTAATATTGAGGTCCAATCTCGGCATCTAAATCCACGCGTAACGGCACAGCCGCACCCCATACCCGGAATCCACGTGCTAACACCTCCGTGAGCTGTTTAAAGATAAATTTCCCAGCTGTTCAAAACCAGAACTGCCTGTAAGACTTCTGACGTGCTGTCCTAGATTGCCGGAAGCGTTGACTGGAGAGCCATCGCATCCGTGACGAAAATGCACACACGCTGCCGACTTAGAGAGGTGTTATACCTCGGCAGTGCGGCTGCACCCATAGGAAAGTACGCCGACGTAGTGTACCCAACCCGCAAGTCATCACAATGCCACAAACACGTCTAATGGGATTTACATGTGTGATTCCAGCTATTATTAGAAGGGGTTTCTCCGTTCCTCCCTGGAAGTCGAATGGCTGGAATATCGAAAGTCACTCATCGGCAGAGCGATGGTTATTTGTAACTCATGTAAGTCATCTATGCATTTAATGAACGACTCCATTCTGTTGCAATAACCTTCACCCACATCGGGCACAGCTTTGTGCAGCAGATCACTGTTTGTGGACGATGAAGTCCCAGGAGTCCCTCCAGGTCATGTCCTTGATCTGCTGCGGCGTCAGCGGCGTGGTGCCGTACGACACGGAGCTGAACACGACGAAGGTGTAGCCGCAGGCGGCCACCCAGAGCAGCACAGCCAGCGCGAGCAGCAGGCGCAGCGGCCGCCAGCCCAGGTGGCTAAAACAGGGCGGGGGGTGGGGGGGGGGGCATGTCAGCGGACTCGCAGCGAGAGTATGGGTCAGGGGATGATTGGTGTTATAAAAGATTGGGGAGGCTGGCGGTGGTGGTATCGTCTATCGATGAGCAAACATGACGTTTGCGTGACGGGCAAACGCTAAACGAATCCACTGTGCTCTGCTTTGTTACCAGCACAAAAATGCGTCTTTTTTGCCGCCACCACTCAGTTACATGGGCTCTTTTTGTCGCATACTTTGACACCTAACACATACCGTAAAGTGGGGCTATTTGAGACAGTGGAGCTATTTGAGACAGTATTTAAAATCGCTATAAAATGAAAACCGTTTGATTTTTATGCGATATTTTTGCTCAGGAAGGTGTGGAATTGAGCGGTAAATCGACTGAGCAAAAATTAAGCATAAATTTCAAACGTTTTTTATTTTATAACAATTTTAAATACTGTCTCAGATAGCCCCACTGTCTCAAATAGCCCCACCTTACGGTACCTAGATGAAACTCGGTGTTTCGTGTTTCATCCAGAGTTCGTTTCAACTCATCGGTCTCCGACCGTCCATCTAAACCACGGTCAATGATACATCGCAGGCACTATGATACTGTCCACCATCCACTACAGCACCAGCACTATCCACCCCCGCCTTCCCTACCTGGCGACGAAGTTGAGGTGGTCGACAGTGCAGGCGGCCAACATCACGGCAAACACGTAGGCGGGCAGGTAGTGGTGCAAGAAGAACGTGTGGTCGATGACGAAGTAGGGCAAGTAGTGGCACGCGAACCCGCCCAGCACTGTGCGGCACACGGTGCACATCTTGCTCCACTCGGCTGTCAAAAAGACACAAGACGTGGGTTAGTACGAATGCGCTGTACATGACTTCATTCATTCATTGATACATCCAGCGTTTTAATCTCATCACTAGCGCCAATCCTGTTCCCCCGTCAGCCTGCGTCTCCGCCCAGCCACCGCATCCCGCCCCTCTCCTCTCACCGTCGGGTATGTCGAAGCAGGCGCGTTTCCTGCGCAGCAGGTAGAGCGTGGCCAGCGCCGAGTAGACGAGCAGCGCCGCCGAGGAGGCCGCCCACACAGCCGCGTTGCCCACCAGGTGTACCTGAGCGTTACTGTCCGGGCTGATCCAGTAGGCCACGCCGCGCCGCAGGGACAGCCACTCGAGCGGGTCCGTAGCGTACGTGTGGCCGTGCACCGTCTCCTGACTGTTGAACAGCATCTTGAGCTGCAGCTCGGCGAACTTGCGCCAGAAGCTGAGCTGCATCTCGGTCATGGGGATCAGATCGCTGCTGACCACCTCGAGCTGACGTTCGTCGTCAGAGTTGGACTCCACTGGCGGCGACACGGGGCGAGAATAGGGTGTGAAAATGGGAGACGGGTGATCTACTTGGAGACTAACTTTGGGTAGGCATATTGCGTAAGTAGGTCCGAAAGTTGTTTGTTATACGGGCTACGCTACGCTGTTAAGTGCTATCGATAAGTTGGTTTCTTTTGCTAGGTTATACAACAGCCCTCTGTGATCAAGCTTTCCCAGATCATCAGATGGGATCCTGTATCGGTCAGCTCGTCCGTATCACTGGACACATCCGCTAGCCCTCGCTCCTACCCGTCCACCCTCTGCGTCACCCCGCCGCCTACTCACTGGTGAGTTAGCGGTTCGCCCCTCCGTCCACTCACTGGTGAGGTAGCGGTGCTCCTCGACGTTCCACACGGTGTGCTCCTGGTCGGCCAGCGCGTCCCCGACCACCTCCTGCTGGCCGTTACCCCACTCGGGCAGCCGGCGGCCGGAGAACTTCAGTGCCATGTTCAGGTTACCCTGGTTAATGAACCGTACCTGCGGGGAAGGGGGAGCCGTGACTTGTATCACAAGGAAGCTGCTTCACTAGCTTCTCGGCAAGTTTTTATATTCATGTGGTAAATAACTTGTGACTACGACTTGACCCTGCACGATCGTCGACCTTCGCTCGACCAGTCGCCATCCTTACCACATCTCGGGTTCCTAAAAGTGTGCCTGCCGTGACCCGGATTCGAACCGGGGTTATCGCGGCCACAACGCGAGGTCCTAACCACTAGACTATCACGGCTTGTGGTGGCAGCGCGTTTGGTCTGCTCGGGGAGGGGGCGCGGGTATCATGGCCGTAACTGTCGTGATTCTAAATCGCATTCTTATTGAAAACTTAACCCCAGTCCCCATTGGGATAAATGCACGGGTTGAACTTTGTGCGGAGCTGGGAGGGCCAGGGCGCAGCAAATCCGCCGCCGCCTTAGCGGTGACCTTGACCTCCGCGGTCTGTTAAGGCTCCAAAGCCAAGCCGGCGTCGAATTTGGAGAGCTCGGGCCCTCCCAACTCGGCACAAAGTTCCAGCTAAGGATAAGCTTTTAATCGAGAGAAGAGCAAAATTCGGACGAAAATCATTGTTTTTTTTTAACTTACAGCCACCTGTTATTGAACTAACCCTAACTCGACCAGTTGCCAGCAGCACCGACAAACACATTCTCTCCGAATGGGCCCGACTGACTGTCCTACCTCGGATGTGATGGCGTGCCAGGCGCCGTCGGTGTCCTTTTTGTTGACGATCATCACCTTCCAGAGGTCCTGTTTAGGTATTGACGTGTTGGTGCCGGTATAGCAGCTCACCTCCTGAGGGCGCGGGTCACAGTGGGTCAGAGGAGAACGGATGAGTTGGCGGCACTGCAGGTGAGGTAGTCTAGCCACTGCGGAGTCATGTAGGGGCGCACTGGAGGGAGGGGTTGCGTCAGATCAGTTCGGGTCAGGTCAGATGTGAGAAACGTGTCAATGACACTGATTTTATGAGTGTTATGTTATGAGTGTATGTGTATGTTATGTTATGTTATATGTGTTATGAGTTAGCGGACAGCCCAACTCCCTCCTGAAGAACCCCTGGTCGATCGAGGGTAAAACAATGGCAATGGTTGATAAGGATATGTTTCTGTGCAGTCTCGGTGATATTGATACATGCTGCAATGCGGCCTCCGCGGCGTGCTACCTTTACGCCCTGGGATGCAGTCTTTGGGCTGTCCCTGTATGCCACAGTGCAGTTTACACACTCCACAGCATGCTACTCTATGTTGTAAGGGACAGTCTCTGTGCTACTTCTATATGCCGCATTGCAGTCACGCTGGCCTTCTGCTTCAATGTCATTTTTACGTGCGGCAGTGCAATATTCATGGCGTGTTACCTTCATGCTTTGTGTTGTAGTCTCTGGGTTATAATCTTATGCTTGAATGCAGTCTCCATGACGTGCTACATTATATTCTGAGAAGAAGTGCCTGGGCTAATTTTACATGCAGCAGTGTTAGTCTGTGCTACCTTTATATGCTGCAGCACACTCTTTGCTTAATCTTATATGCCGCAATGCAGTCTCCGTGGTTATTTTTATATACTGCAATGCAGTCTCCATGGTTATCTGTATATGCCGTAATGCAGTCCCCATGGTTATCTTTGAGTGCCGCCAATGCAGTCTCCGTGGTTATCTTCTAATGCCGCAATGCAGTCTCCGTGGCTATCGCTCTTTCCCACATTGCAGTCTCTATTACGTGTGCTTTGTTCTGGAATGCAGTCTCCTCCCTTCCTCCCCTCTCCTTCCTCCCCCTCCCCGTACCTCGTAGTCGGCGGACTCTGACATGGGCGGCCGGTAGCCGTCGCTGGTGATGAGGTGGTTACCGGTGATACCGTGCACCAGCTGTACCACGTCACCATCGCGGAACGGCCGGAACGGCGGCACCAGCCGCGTGTGACTCCTGCCGGCACCGGTCGCACGGTCACTTGGAGGTCACAAAATGATTACATAGAGGTTAAGTTAGCTGTTGGGTTTTCAAAGGGACTTGGTAAAATGGATTTATGGCTCCGGAGCCTGTAGATCACTGCGTTATTGAAATTGTTAATTGACGGAATTCCTTTTCCCTGGGAAGGTATGATAGTGGAGAAAATGTAAAAGATAGCACTATTCTTTTTCTGCTAGGCTAGACACGTCACGGTAATTTCAAAGACCCATTTCAAACATCACCTCCGTCCACGAGTGTCAACCCACACCACCGACCCCTCGGTTCGTACTTGGCCGGGTCCTTGACGATCCACCAGTTGTTGGCGTCCTTGCCGGAGTAGCAGGAGACCTGCTGCTGGCGGCTCGAGTTGCGCTCGATGTCAAACTCGTCTGGGTACGGTTTGCCGTGTGAGTGGAGCCAGCAGGGCCGGCCGACGGCGTGCCGCAGCGTCACCTGCGAGCCGTGGCCCACCGCCACCGGCTGGTTCTTGATCAGCGTGGCCAGACCGTCCTGCAGAGGGGACAGAAGGGAGTGTCGGTGTGGGGAACGTGAGAGGGTAGCTGTAGGGTAGGGGTGCATAATATCAAGATCTATGTAGATACCTCTGTTCCAAGAGATCGCTGCTACAAGGTGTGGTGGAACCGGACCAACAATTTTAGAATGAAACTTAACTTTTCTGAAAAAAAAAATCACTCCTGGTTGTTCCCTAAATTAGCCTGAACTCTCGGCTGTACTCGTATGACCAGGCTGTCGTTATGTCTAGCTGTCTGTCTAGGCTGTACTTTCCGCACTCCACTCCCCGCCCTTCTCAATGACGGCCGAAGGACCCCGATCCGTACATACCTCGAGACTGGCCTGGAAGGCGCTGGACATAACACGGTCGTAGCCTCCACCAGCGCGCTGCAGCACGGCCAGGTGGCAGTAGAAGCTGCCCAGGTAGACGGCCGCCGGCACGGCCACCGCCAGCGCGCTGCGCGTCACCAGCTGCGCCGCCAGCTGACCACCGCTGACGTCCGGCCTCGGTACCAGCGTCCAGAAGTCGTGCGCCACCAGCCCCCAGCCGAGCACCAGCGACAGGAACCCGGCGTACCGCACACTGGGGACGGCGGGGGGGGGGGGGCGTTACTGGCGGTCACCGTGTCTGAACCACAGGGCCACGGCGCCCACAGTGAACGGTTCGTCTATCAGTTTTGTGGGTTAGGGCAAATCTTTGGTGCTATGGCATGGGTAACTCAACTGTTATCCAGTCAAGCCGCTGGAAATACTTCTCTCGTTGGAAGTGAGTGAAGAGCTAAGCTGCCGTGTGTACGAGGCTGGCTCACATTCAGAGCCGAGATGGATGAGAGTGAGGATATCTCGCTCACCTGACTGCGGCTCCGAGGAAGGCGAACCCGGCCACCAGCCAGCCGAGCCAGCTGGCAGAGAAGGGCCGTTCCCCGCAGCGGCGGAACCGAGCCAGGCACAGCACGCCCAGCGCCGCAAACAGCATCAGAAACGGCTCCAGGAACATGAACCGCGACTGAGTGAGCAGCGAGTTCTCTGCGGGGAGGGGGTTCAGTGGTCAGTGCGAGTTCTCTGTGGGATAGGGCGCGGCGGTTAGCAGCGAGTTCTCTGTGGGGAGGGACAAAACGTGCTAATTAGAGGCTGGGTGCAGCGACTGGGTCAGCAGAGAGGTCTCAGCAGAGAGCAGAGAGGTGGAGGGGCTCGACGGTCAGCACGGCGAACCTTATCAGAACCGAGTTGCAATTCATGGTGGTCGACAGTGAGCGTTACAGATATGGCAAACCGACGCGGTTCTTCTTCCACCAATCGACAACCGAATCAGTGTAAGTTATTTGTGCTTACAAACGTTAGGACGGTTCGATAGCTTACCGAGCAGGATGAGGACGCCGGCCAGCGTGGCGGCGCCTCTCGACACTCCTAGTTCGAGCAGCAGCCAGTAGGTGACGGGCAGGAGCAGGGCGCCGGCCACCGCCGGAGCCGTCCTCAGCAGCTCAATCGGCACGGTGTCGGGGTACGGGGTGCCGATACGGTCGAACGTAAAGTTGCCTGGGGACACAAGTAAATGGTGTGGTGTCACCATTTGTCAACCAATTAACATGCTAGCCCCTGTGCGAATGCACCTATCTAGTTGTCAGACCAGTGCTTTAGACACAAAAAAGACGTAGGCGTACTTACACACTTGTAGGTATTTAGGTACTACAAGTCATGCATGGTAAATATTTGTTGGAAGGTCAACTTCGGCATGGTTTTTACCTCCTGCGGCGGCAGGTTGCAAGTGGTGCTAGGGCACCGGAAACTTACCATCGAAGCCGGCGAGATACGCGGGAATGGCCAACAGCTGCTTCCCCAGAGGAGGCTGGGAGTCGAAAAAGAACATTTGCTTCATATACAGCGCCACATATTTCCCGTAATGGAGCTCATCGAACCTGCGAAAGTGTAGATGTCTTAGCGTCATCAAACCGTCGGATGAGGTCAAACGGTGACCGCGGCGCGGAGGGATGCTTCTATTGGAGCTGACTTTCCCGGCTGTCTGGGGACCAGCAGCCCGGACGGGGCGACGTGCTGAGAATGAGCTGGTCTTATAAGGGGTAGAAGAAGCACGCATCATTTGAGTCTGTGTGTGACGGTTGATACGAACCGTACGAGCACACTCACACGATGCCTCGCGGCTGGTCGATCTGGTAGAGACGCGTACCCAGTCCAGCCAGCAGCAGCAGCACGGCCACCACGTCCAGCCGGCGGCCGCGGGGGGTCGGTGCTGGACGCTGCTGGTCGCCGGTGGAGCCCTGCAATCACACACGGAGGGCCTCAGTCACAGGCTCGACACTCGACATTCGGTCGGTCACAGAGCCCCACTTAGTCACAGTCACTCGAAACAGACACACGGAACACTATCACTCCACAGATCGTCAGCCGCAGAAGCTGTCACCCGACAGTCACTCGGTACTCAAAGATCCTCAAACACCCCTACGGTGCTTCAGATGCCTAATAATTGGCCTCGAACGTTCCTGCAGACCTCGTCAGAGACCCAGTGGTCACTTCAGAGGCTCAGACACCTTCTATGGACCGGCTAAATAAACGTGTCTCGACAATTGAGGCACAGTCACTACACACTGCCTCAATCCAAGTCTGTCCCGTGCACTTCGTAAATTACTTCCAAAACTTCAAAGGTGACCTGGGGTCAAATTACACCACAGGACACCTACCACAGGATAGGATACAACAAAATTAAATGTTGTAAGCTATGTGAAGTTTCGAGACGCTTTCTTCCCCCGCGTCCCCACCTATAGCGAAGGCAAGTACCAAAAACAGGAAGGAATGTGCCATTGCCATGTTCCGATATCTAACTCTGCGCAATGCATTACCTACTCTTTATTTCACAACGTCTCTCACTACAGAGTCCCTCGATGGCCGTGACGTGACGCTGTTTCCCGTGCCCCGCGGCGGTTTCTGCCGTGTCTGAGTTGCTCTGCAGTGGGCCGGGGCCGGCAGAGGAGAGCGGCGTCCATCCACCCCGCCCGCGGCCCTCCCATCACCGTCCGTCCGACCGTCCCGGTCACTGACCCCGAGCAGAGAGCGGCCACCGGAGAGGAGGCGAGAGGCCCACCCGGCCACAGCCTCCGCGCACAGCCGCTGCGAACGGAAAGGCTGCGGACGGATAGGCCGGAGAAACGGCTAGCAAAGAATGAGTTGAGAGGGATGACTGAAGTTTTAGCGACTGTTGGCTTCAGGCTGGAGCGCACCATACGGGGGCAAACATAAATCGTCATTTTATAGACTACGTTCTTTTCATTATGTTTCTCATCTCCTCGTTTCCGTCGGATTGAACATTGCCAGCGAATCGTCCTACTGGAGCGCTGCTTGCTAAACCACTGTAGAGGGAGTTTCAACCTTCCGTGTCGGTGAATGTTGACCCTGCTCGGCCGAGAGCACTCACCCCGGCTGAGACGGAACGCCTGCGGCTCAGTTACCATGACAACGAGCGGCCCGCCGGCCGGCGTCAGTTCGGCTGACCTTGACCATCGTCCAACCGGGACCTCAACGGGACCTGATCGTTTTGCACCTAGTGGTTGCCCCCTACATTTATCTGATGTGCCCTTTTTATTTTTCAAGATCATCTGAATCGTAATATGGGATCGCTCGAACCGTATTGACTATTGTGCTTTTAAAGCGTTGCAAAAGCTGTGGTTGGCGACGAATAACGGGAATGAGCATTATAAATTAATTGACACTTCGTCTTCATAGGAAAGTGTCGGGGAATAACGTAAATGTGCATTAAAATTGATTAAAGACTGATCGAAAGCTTCACATTTATTTTCAGCACATTTTCATTGTTATTTATGTGATTAGTGTCCCGTATTTAGTGATTGGTAAACGTTGAACGTTTTAACGAGTGAACGTTTTAACGAGTGAACGTTTTAACGAGTGAACCATTGCAATGTCGTCCGTTGGTCACGCTGGTTCTTGTCTTTAATGTCATCGAGCAGCTTTGGACTAACTACTTACTATCCTGTTGTATTATTTATACTAACGTGGTTCTTAGTGTTTGACGGTTATACGGTAGACGTTCATACGATTATACAACTTCTCAATGGTTGTTGAATGTCTCGGTTGCCGATCGACCAAAGATTCACTATAGATGCTGTCGAGTTATGAAGCTCCCATAAGCCTGTCGAGAATCGGAATCCATTGCGATCATTCAACGTCCCAACTAGCCGGTAAGCCGAATAATTTTCGGGAGATCTGCAGTGTTGTCTGAATGGGAACTTTTCATTTCTATTTCCAACAGATAACGTATTCCTGAGCGGCTCGCGCCCAGGGCTGTCAGTTAGCATTGGCTGTCAGAATGTGATCCTCAACTGACCCAGACCACTCACCTGGCTGGCGAGACTCTGGTGTAAGCTTTTCAGCGTGTTCAGGCCGCTGGTGACCAACTCGTCTCCCTGCACTACCTTGCCGGTGACGGCATCCTGCGTCTTCTGCCCGCCTCTGGCTCCTTTCCGCTGCCGCAGCTCCGCCTCCGTCCCCATGGCTTCCCCCACACCGGCCTCAGACTATTGCACGGCCCCGAGAAGTCACACAGACAGACAGACAGGGAGGTGATCGGCTCCCGCCGCGTGCTGCTCGTCGGCCCGTCACCGCTACTCGACTGAGCTGATCGGCCCCGCCGCCGCCACCGCCGCCGTAACGCCCCGAGGCCCCGAGGCGCCGCCGTGTCGGTCGAAGGGTCTGCGGTGGTAGCGGCGCCCGCGACGGACCGCCAGAGCTACTCAAAGGTGCGGAATGTCATCGGAAGAGCTTGGCCAGGTTGTTTAAGGAACGGTTCGTTTTGTCGCAATTGTGGTAGGTATTTGTGTACTTTTCGTCTCCACACATGTAAGCAAGCCGTACCTAAACCTTTGTGATTCACGGCAAGTAGCCCATTTAACGACAGCGCTAATAATCTTGCGTTTATCAGTATCACACCATAGCGTTGGTACCCGAGCCTGAAGAAAGAAGTAGGTAGGATTTTCGCCATTAGTTTGTGTTGACGAGAACGGCGTGCACGTACCCAATCAGAGTCCGATAGGCGTTATCACAAGTGTATTCGCGGCCATTGGGGCGACGTAAGAAAAGAAGAAACCAACTGGCCCCAAGAATTTTAAATTATCAGTTAGCATGCACCTTTTCTTTGATGTGTAGAGAACTTACCATTATTTGTTACAGAAAATTACATTTAAAATCTTCCATTTATGCTTTTTTCATCGTTTGCACAATATGTTCTTTTACTAAGCTAGAAACACTAATTAGAAATAGTTCCCGCATCATCAAGAACAATAGGGAAGGCTTGAAGTGAATAAAATAATTTAAACGGTTTTGTAATCTAATTGAGGGCACTTCTAAAATTGCCTGTAGAAATATTGAAGGCAAAAGTTCAACTTTTTCACAAGACGGATGTCTATAAACCTATTTAACTTGTGACAACTCAGCCGGTATTTCGTCGCCTACAGCCCAGCTTTCCCTAGTGACCGATAGAGGCGCTGCTATCGATGTCCGCCCGTGCCGCCTAACGCCAATTGTAGGATCATGCAGATGCAACGGAGACATTAAAATATATAAAGATCTTTTAGGCATACATATGGTATACCTAAAATATCTGTTGTACCGGTCACCTTTGGTGCTCACGGTGTCACGATTTGCAGGTATTCAGTCATGTCAATCGAAAGTTACGGTTGGTGACTCCGACGTGACTGACAGCACTGAGCAGTGAGCAGTGCATAATAGTGGATCATAAATGTCCAATTCCATGCTATGATATAGGGCGGCAACTAAAAAAAATAATTGTACTAAAAAACTTTCTACGACTTGCTACCATATTTTCATATACGGCGCATCTGTTACGTACGCAGCGCAGCTTTGCAGGGCAGGAAATCTGTTCAAAAAGAGAATTTTCTAGATGATGCTAGGCCAACTATGGTGCGTTTCCATAGCAACCAGCGGCTCTTTGCTGCGAATTTTCCAGGTTGCCAGGAGATTCACGTTTGCTGCTCATTTGCAGCCTTGCGAAGGTCTCGGGAAGAACAGGACAAGAAAAGGACTGGATTGTTTCGTTTTTTAATATTTCATTCTCAACAGCGTAAAGATTAATTTTCAACGAGGGGTCATTGCGGAAGTTCCTCCACGTTGTAGGTATGTGCCTGTCTGTCGAGGGTTGAGTAGTATTTTTACTTTTATATCACGCTGCAGGACGGGCAAGGCCGCGCACAGACTATACAGCCTTGTAATACATAGATGCTTGGTTGAGGTGATTATCCCAATCCAGGAGCAGACCAGTTACCTAACAATGCTGTGTCAATGGCTTTGCGACTTACTTCAGTATCTTTTTTTTAATTTAACTTTTGAACCATAAAAGTGGAAGGGATCACGCTGTCACAGAGTCCCTGCCAAGCAGAGTGTGGCGCTGGCCCTGCCCTCCACCCTCCACTCGAACACCTTCAGCCATGGCAGTGTTCAGAGTCTAGTTAAAGATATGCACACTGCAGCACATGACTGGTCCCCCTGACTTTGGTTGGCTATTGCCTGACACCAAATGCTACCATACTCATCAGGAGTCATGAACATTGAGTGCCTGTCTAGCCGACTTTTGAAACGGTGGCACATGCTCTCACCGCACAGATTGTAATGCTCTGCCTACTGACTGAGCTATGAACTGGCTGTAATTGGGCAGAGTTATAATAGGGAAAATGAGATGAGAATGAAAAGATAAATAGATTAAAATACAGTTAGCTTAGCACTGCAGAACGTAACTCCTTTTTTGTCTTATTTTGAATAGGTACGCAAGGATTTTGAAATAATACATAATTTTTAATATGAAAAAGCATGTCTATGACAGTGTGAGATTTGGCTGGCCAACAATTGCACTTAATTTTAAGAAGATAAACAATATGACCTCTGAACTTGTAGTTGAATATTTTTCTTCCAAATCTCCAAATTTTTCTTCCAAGTCTTAAAGTATTCTAGCTCAATGAGAATGGTTTCCTACAGGCCAAGTGGCCTTTAAAATTCGGATCAAATTAAGTTAAGGTAAATGTTGTTCTTAGTGGTGAAATATTTCTTCTGATTGTCATTTCTCAGTTTAACTTAAGGCTGTAAAAAGTGAAACCATTGTATTCAGAAGCTTAATCCTTACCTGATACGCATTTTTGTTGAAATGTCAGCTGACAACTTCAAAATTTGGCATTTTTATCCAACCTTGATTGGGTTTTCACCATAGCCGGCAGGAGTTGGCCTCAAATTACTCAGGCAATCTTGTAATATATCTTTATTGTCAAATCTGTACCCAGTTGCATGCCATTTGCATTTTTTTTTTTATCCAGTGGGCAGTGGTTTTTTATCTAACTTTAACCTTAAAAGCAACTGTATGTATGCACCATAAGAGAATAGCCCATAGCTACACTAATCTTCTGACAATCTTTTCATAAAATGTTCATGAAAATTACTTCATTTAATTTTCCAATACCATGGGCAATGCATTTTGTACAGCTCTAAATGTGAACATTGCTTAAGTTTACACCTTTGAGCTGACTGACCTGTCTTGTGACCTTGAAACTTCAGTTTAATTTTGGGAATGTTTCAGATGCATCTAGCTTAGACCTTTTAAATGTTGCTTCATGCATGTTTCTACATTATTCTAAGTTTTTGAGACATTAGCTGTGGCATTCCCTCTCACACCCCTTAGCAGTTGTTTTTAAAACTTCTGGCTGTCTCCTCCTTCTACAGTTTCTGACTGCTCATCCTCCTTACCAATCAGTGCTTACACACTACACAGTACACACTACACACTAACTACACAGCCCAGGCTGGCCTGTCTCCCTCCCATCACCCAACGTCTCTGTTACCCCTCCTGCCCCACTCCTGCCATCCACCCGGCCTCCCATAGCCCTGTGGTATCAAAAATTCAACCCTTAAATACCTCCAGGACTGCCGCATCTTCCCTCCCCTTCCACGGCTGCTGGCCGCTTCCTAACCCCCAAACCCGGACCATACGTCCTGCTAAGTGTTCCAGAGTAGTGAACCTACCAGTCCCTGACCAGTGACCACCCTGTTCCCCTGCAGACCCCAGGATGGCCACCAAGCTCCTGCAGGCGTGCGTGCGCTGCTCGCGGCTGCACGCGCGCCGCCAGCTGTGTCGGCCGGCGGCGGCTGCTCTGTACCTGCCGCCGGGCGGACCGGCCGCCGGCGGTCTGCTGCCCACCGGCCGGCGCCTGCCCGCCGCCCCCGCCCCCGCCCCCGCCGCGGCGGTGACGCCCGCGCGCCGCTGGATGAGCTCCGAGCCGCCCCCAGAGGAGGGTGACGGAGACGCGCCGCCGGCGTCGGCCGAGCCGCCCGTGTCGCCGTCCTTCCACCAACTGCCGGCGGCCGTCACCGTGCCAGAGGTGTGGCCCAACCTGCCCGTCATCGCCATCAACCGCAACCCCGTCTTCCCCAGGTTCATCAAAATCGTCGAGGTGAGAGGACATTGACGGAGCGATTAGCTGAGGTGGCGTTGCTAAGTTAACATTACCATGAGAAGCCGATCTTGGTTGTATGACCGCCTCACCTCACCTCAGTGGAGTTTTTTTTTTCATTCCAGCAGTAACTCATTGTTCCATCATGGCTTTGCCAACATTTAACTATCCAGTGGGTGAATGTGGAATGAAGGTCAATGTCATGAATGTTATTTCCATCATGTGGATTCTCTTTTTCCTTAGGTGACCAATAGATCGCTGATGGATTTGATCAGAAGGAAGGTCAAGCTGAACCAACCATATGCTGGAATATTTCTCAAGAAGGTTGAAAAGTAAGTGGTTTCAGCTGCTACCTTTTAGCTGAATGCATCCTTGATTTCATGGCATTACAGCACATAGCCCTACATTGACCGAATTTCGCTTTCACGGTATGATGTTTAGTGCTGTTTAAACGTATGATATTTTGTGCTGACTGACGAAGTGACTGACTGCCTATGTCTGGACGCTGAAGCGGTGCTCAGCAGCAGCAGTGTGCGATCCCCGCTCCCGGCGCCTCCGTCCCCATCTGACCGGTCACCGTCCCGCCGCAGTGATGACGAGGTGGTGTCCCGTCTCTCGGAAATCCACCCGGTGGGCACGTTCGTGCAGATCCACGAGCTGCAGGACCTGGGCGACAAGCTGCGCATGATCGTGATGGCGCACCGGCGGATCCGTGCCGTGCGCCCGCTGCCTGAGGACGCTGACTCGGGACTGGACACGGCGCCGCCCGTCAGCGATAATGGTTAGAGCACAGAGCGGGGTGTAAGGGAGAGGGAGGTGGTAGGGGTTTGACAGTCAGGGGAGAGGAGATGGCACCTTGGCGGTTGCCATTTTAGTGCCTATATTTGGTACGTGATTGATAGGCTTGGAATAGATGTGAATGTGTTTTCTCGGCATGTTGTGAATGTCAAGCTGATCACTGGATGATCTTGCGAATTCATTAAATTGTCAATAATTTTCTGGACTTCGTACCGGCGGAACCCTGCACATCCGTGTGTCGACCAGTGGGCTCCCGCCCCGCCCACCTGCCCCAACCGGCGCCTGGCCGCCCCGTCTAACCGCAGTGCTGAAGCTGAACTTTCCTGCGTTCCGCGCCTCCGTCACCTCGCCAGTGGAGTCCGGTGAGCCGCCGCTGAGCGGACTCCAGCGGCGCCGGCGGCGGCGGCGCACACAGGACTCTCCTGCTCCTGCGGCGCCCGCCCAGGGGGAGCAGGAGGTGGAGCAGGCCACCGACTCCCTGGACCGACAGGCGGCGGAGCAGGAGACGGCGGAGCAGGAGCAGGAGCCGCCGCAGCAGCAGTCCGGGGACCTGCTCATGGTCCGCGTGGAGAACGTCACCCACGAGAAGTTCGAGCACACTGAGGAGGTCAAGGTCAGTTGTTATAGAGGACAGTGAGGACCCTTTTTGTCACTTATTCGTTCAGTCATGCCATTGACGTATTTATCATGTTCTTCCACTTCTACAAGCATCCACAAAAGCTAAGTGTCCGGGTGAAATGTTGAACGCTCGTTCGACTGGGTAGCGACCCGAACTCGGCTGACCGATACCTTCTGTCACTCTGTCGTCCCCAGGCGCTCACTCAAGAGATCGTGAAGACGGTGCGCGACATTATCGCTCTGAACCCGCTGTACCGGGAGAGCGTACAACAGATGGTGGCGCAGGGCCAGCGCGTGGTCGACAACCCCGTGTACCTGAGCGACCTGGGCGCGGCGCTGACGGCCAGCGAGCCGGACGAGGTGCAACAGGTGCTGGAGGAGACCAACATCCCCAAGCGTCTGCGGCTGGCGCTGGCCATGCTGAAGAAGGAGTTTGAGCTGAGCAAGCTGCAGCAGAAGATCGGCAGGGAGGTCGAGGAGAAGGTGAAGACCCAGCACCGCAAGTTCATGCTCAACGAACAGCTCAAGGTGAGGACTATGATCAGCTGCTGGTGTGGTTTGTTAATTAATATATAAACATAAGCGCTAGATCCGGAGGTAGGATAATAAAGTGAAGGAATGTCAAGACTGTCATTAATCTTGGTGTTAATTCGGCTTTACTTTGGTTTCACACAATTCATGATGGAACGGTGCGAGTTGTGGGTTGTGACATCCGTAAATATCGGTAGAGTTAGACTCGCCGCCGTTGTAATTGTAAGCCATGTCGCGTGGGTGTCGTATTATAATATTCTGACGTTGAGTACACCTTGTCTGTCGGCGCTGGCAGGTCATCAAGAAGGAGCTGGGCCTGGAGAAGGACGACAAACAGGCTATCGAGGAAAAGTTCAGAGAGAGGATCAAGGTATGGCGGCCCCAGTGCTTTTCGCTTCGCGTTTCTTTTTTTATTTTTGTGTGATAATGTGTGGTTAAATTTTTAAGCACCGCTTGCAATATAACACGTTTGTTGAAGTATCAGTTAGGCTGCCGCATTCCTTGTCCATTTGTTTAGCCTATGCTTTGTATCGAATCGACCTTACTGCCCTGTTGCATATGCTAGATTTCGGTGTTCAGCTAAATTACCCATCTGCGCCGTTTTCAGGGCAAACAAGTTCCCAAAGATGTGATGGAGGTAATTGAAGAGGAGATAGGCAAACTGGGATTCCTGGAGAATCACTCTATGGAGTTCAAGTAAGTTATCCCCCTTAAATGCGTCTGAGTCCCAGTCGGTTGAATAAATTTGTCGGAAAGATGTGAAAATGGTGTGTTCTTTTCGCGGCTCCTCCGAAGCAGACCAAGGCGATATCTTTAGTTAGACCTGCTACTGTATTCGTATCACCCATACCTAAATCATCCACAGTTTGTCTAAATGTGCGTCGATCAGTAGTCATTCAGATATTCTGCTGGCCGTCCAGTTCCTCGCCTCAGTTGCGTGGCGTATCAGCGTTCCCTGTGCCCGCTCACCCCTCCCCTCCGTCGGCAGCGTCACTCGCAACTACCTGGACTGGCTGACGGGCCTGCCGTTCGGAGCGCACAGCGAGGAGCGACTCGACCTCGACGTGGCCTCGGAGATCCTCGACGAGGACCATTACGGCATGGAGGACGTCAAAAAGCGCATCCTCGGTCAGTGGGGGGCCCACAGGTGGTCGTAGGTAGAGGTCATGCTATTTGTAAAGAACTTCTCTGGAACAAAAAAGGAATGCTATGGTGCTTCGTAATTGTCGCCCCCTCGTCAAGTCCGACTTTTCTTTCTCTTTCCATGAAAAGGCTACTTCCATCGCACTACGGCCCTGCAGTAATGTTTTTGCAATATTGAATGAAACCTGTCCGAGTTCAAAAATAAAAATGCTGAATATTTTATTTGGAACTATCTCCATCAAATAACTCGATGCATAAACTGCTCAAAGTTCCAATTTCCCACCCCAATAGACTCTTCGTGTTGCTATTTCAGAGTTTATCGCCGTGAGTAAGCTGAAGGGTGGCACCCACGGCAAGATCCTGTGCTTCCATGGGCCGCCGGGAGTGGGCAAGACGAGCATCGCGCGCTCGATCGCCCGCGCACTGAACCGAGAGTACTTCCGGTTCAGCGTGGGCGGCATGTATGATGTGGCCGAGATCAAAGGGCACCGAAGGTGAGCCGCCGGTAACTGAATCGCCTGAGTGATGCCGCGGACTTCTGCTGCTATATCCTCAGCTGCTTATTAAATGGCATCCTGATTGAATTGCTTACTCCATTTAGTGTAAGCTATATGTAACGTGTTGCTATGCTTTCCATAAGCATTTGATTACGGACATGTCTATCGCCGTTAATTTTGCGGTGGCTATATTGGTGGTTCATCTGGTGTGGTTATATATTGGTGTGGTGGTTCGTCGGCTCGTCGCCCACCGTGCTGAATGGACGGCCAACATTCCGTGCTAATATCGTCTGCTACCCCAGGACCTACGTCGGAGCCATGCCAGGCAAGATGATCCAATGTCTGAAGAAGGTGAAAACGGAAAACCCGCTGGTTCTGATCGATGAGGTGGACAAAATTGGAAAGTAAGTGAACAATCATCGTTTTGATAATGCGCCATTGATAACACTGTGCGTTGATAACCGCTGCATTGCATTAAAAATGTACATCGAGGAATATTCTTTTCACATGTATGTTTGTGTGGCATTCGCGACATTACCCAGTATCCAGTTATGTAGGTACCGCTTTGAGTGCTGTACTTAGGATGTTGTCTGTGTCCCAGGGGCTACCAGGGCGACCCGACCTCGGCGCTGTTGGAGCTGCTGGATCCCGAGCAGAACGCCAACTTCCTCGACCACTATCTGGACGTTCCGGTCGACCTCTCCAAGGTCAGTCGAGGGCGGGGTCTGCCGATGCTGATCGATGTCACCATCGTGTATTCTTTTACTTGGCAACCACTGTCACTATGTGCGTCATGATTCGGTCTTGCGTTTTACAAAATTGTTTGCTATTTTGTCTCGAATCGTAGTGTAGCGGCATTTGACGGCCTGTATCTGTGTCCAGGTGCTGTTTATCTGCACTTATATGTTGGACACCATGTCTAACCCTCCGTGAGCCTTGGACTGTCCTAAATGACTCCGTCTATCTGTCGCCAGGTGCTGTTTATCTGCACTGCTAACGTGCTGGACACGATCCCGGACCCACTGCGGGACCGGATGGAGATGATCGAGGTGTCCGGCTACGTGGCCGAGGAGAAACTCAACATCGCCAGACAGTACATCATACCGCAGGTGGGCACTGGCAGTCACAAATGCTCTGCTCCGTCCCTGCGAATTCTTCAGTGTGTCCTCTGCCCCGTGCGCACTGCAGCTCGCCTGTCGTGTTTATTTTCTGCTGTCCAAGTGTCCTCAGTCTAGTGCCTCTTGTGTGCTGTCCACTGTCTGTTGTCAAGTCTTCGTCCAGTGTCTTACATCCAGTGCCAACCGTCCTGTACCCGCTGTTATTTGTCCACTTCCAGGTGTCTGGTGTATTCCATCTGCCCATCCCCGATAGGACGCTACCGTCGCTAATCAAAATGATGTTGAGCTTGATTCTATGGTGCCAATATCACATAAATGTTTCATGAAATGCTCGTCAGTGATAGTGTGAAACGTACATGTATTTACGGTAGACGTTACGATTAGCTTCTGGTCTGTCTGTCATTGGCGATTTATGTACGTCAAATTTTGCACAAGGCGGTAGGTAGTCTTTGCGTATCGCTTCTCCGTTTAGTTCGTCGCCAGCGTTTCTGATGTTTCTTTATTCCATCACCATCCAGGCCCGCACGGACACAGGCGTGAAGGAGGAGTCGGTGACGATCACAGACGGCGCGCTGGGCACCCTAATCCGGTCCTACTGCCGGGAGTCGGGCGTCAGGAACCTCCAGAAACAAATCGAAAAGGTACGGCGCAACTTCTGCTTGGGGCTAGGTGGGTTTGGTGGAATAACAATGCATTATTTTTCACTATTGAATTATATTACATACTTTGTTTTAGCAGCTTTGATAATTAATGATCCTTAATCATTCACTGAAGAGGTATATCAGTGACAGTGATGTGACCGTTCTCCCCTATTCCAGATAATGCGTAAGTCGGCGTTCAAGCTGGTGAAGGAGGACGCCGAGACTTTGACAGTCGACACCACCAGTCTGACCGAGTACGTCGGCAAGCCCATCTTCACCAGCGACCGCATGTACCAGCAGACGCCGCCGGGCGTGGTGTGTGGTCTCGCCTGGACGGCCATGGGTGGATCCACACTGTACATCGAGTCCTCGGCGGTCGGCGAGTCGAAACGCGGCGCGTTTGAGGCCACGGGACGGCTGGGAGATGTGATGAAGGAGAGTATCCAGATCGCGCACAGCTACTGCAAGAAGCTGCTGAGCTCGCTGGAGCCGGGCAACACGTTCCTGGACACCAACCGGGTCCACTTGCACATTCCCGAGGTGAGCTGGCGGCAGGAGATTGACATTCACGGTTCTGGGGAGGTCGGTCGGAGAGCGCACTGGTTAGCTCAGAGGAATAGCAGCTGCTCGGAGCTTGGTGTTTTTCAATGGACAGGACACTTACACTTCTATAAGTTGGCGGTTTTTTAATCGTGTGCGGTTGGAATAGTGTTGTTATTGTTTTGACAATATTTGAATGTGTATTGCCGGGCGATGACGTTGGATGTGGCTTGTGTCATCAACCGCTTTTATCTCTCTGGATTTTATTTGTCTAGTGTAGTTGATTACCTGCGCTGCTGCAATGACTTTGTTCGTGCCCCCTCTGACGGCCGTGCTGCGTCTGCTGCCCAGGGCGCCACCCCTAAGGACGGCCCCAGCGCCGGCTGCACGCTGGTAACGGCGCTGCTCTCCCTGGCGCGCGACCAGCCCGTCCGACAGGACCTGGCCATGACCGGCGAGCTCTCCCTGACCGGCAAAATACTGCCCGTCGGCGGCATCAAGGAGAAAGTCATCGCCGTGAGTGACCGGCAAATATGGGCGTCTCTGGATCACCCGCTTTTGCAGTTACCGGGAGATTCATACTAAAACCGTGGCTACCCTAACACTTTAGTAATTAGATGCAGAAGTGTGTGCTTTTGATCGGTAAACATCAGCTTGTCACCATTTGTCTTCGACTTGCTCCTAGCGTCCCGTGTGGTAATATGTTCTGATCGCGTTTGTGCCGTCTGCTCCACAGGCGAAGCGGGCAGACATCAAGATCATCTGTTTGCCGGAGGAAAACCGAAAGGACTTCGACGACCTGCCTCACTTCATCCGGGAGGGCATCGAGGTGCACTTCGTGAGCCACTACACGGATATTCTGCCGATCGCCTTCCCCAGCTAGGCGGCCGTCGGGCCGAGGAACGTTTTGCCGCGTCGTGGAGCGTTGTGTTCAGACAGCGAATAGTCGCCTATGGACAGCATATGAGCTGTTCGAACCGCAGTGTCCGAGGAGCCGGACAGGCGAGTACCTATTATAACCGACCCCGCGGCTGCAGCCACGCGCTCACCGCGGCGGTCGGCCCGGTCGGCGCCGAGGCCCGGGAGTGGTCCGTTTTGTACGCGTCAGCGCGCCTACCGCTTGTATAGGGTCGCGTTACGGCCCGTGCTGCAGTCAGGGAGGGGAGCGGCGGCGTGGGTCCGCCGTTGGAGCGATCACGATTCATTTCTCATCGCGCTGTGATCTGAGCCGTTACAGACGTCGGAGGCCGGCCGAAATGTGCAGCTGTCTGCCGGTCTGTGTTGCTACTTGCTATGTCTGTTGAAAATGACCAATGTGTAGCTGCTATACACGTCCGAATGGATTACCGTAGGAGTTTATATCTGATCTCTTAGTCGCGTTTTATGCTAAGAACCCTGACACCGGAATGCTCCTAAATTGGTGTTATGAGTGAGTGGTGGAGACTTGGAATCCAACGATGACTGTCCGTTTCACGCCGACACGCTATTCATATTCATCGCATCATATTCAGTCAACAGTATGGACACCTGTACAATGAACGTTGCCACACTATACAAGCACGAAACAACGACCCACGCGTGGTATCGGCACTTCGCTTAGTACCGATGAACGCCAAACATGCATACAGTGATGCCGGTACCTACATGACAATAGAAAATCCAATCGAGAATCGGTACAGCCAGCGCTGACGAAAGTTCCAACCCTCCGAGGACCCGCCCTCCGCCAGTCGAGAACGACCGACTCCACAATTTCGCGCAGAGTCCCACAGACGTCTCTGCTCAGCGCCGGTAGCGGTAGCGCTTGAAGTGGAACCACAGCTGGAAGATGTTGTTGTGGAACTGGCAGCGGAAGCCGCGCCGGTACGAGTACTCCCACTCTCGACTGACGATCTTGAAGGCGATGTCCTCGTAGGGCGGCCCCACGTGGAAGCGTAGGATCGAAAAGTCCTTGTTGTCCGGACATACAGTCTGTAACAGGAGCAAAGCAAGGGAGTAATCACTCAGTCCTTTAGTGTCTAAGAGTACCGAAGCGTTCGCAACGGGAGATCAAGTACATGGCAACCCAAATACCGCTGGGAAGTGATTAGTGCAAGACATCCATTCGTAAAAAGAATGGATTGCATTAAAAAGAAGAACAGGCGAAAGCGAAAAGAATAAAGAAAAACAAATGATATTTCACTGTCACTGAAGAAAATACGAAACAGCGCGATTCAGTCAAAGAAGATTATGTCCACTAACCAGAGTGTATTCGGGCGTCTTGGTCTTGTCGATGAGGTCCGGGTAGAAGATGTTGAACTTGTAGCCCTGCACGATCTTAGGCGGCGGGTTGTCCATGTCGTAATGAGTCTGGTTGTACTTGTTCCACTCGAAGCCGGTATGTACCCTGCGAGAGTGATGAACGTCAGCTATTGTAACTTTGCATCGCATGATTTTGTAGCAACACCACCCAAATCGCAGATTCGCGACAATGGCAATGGTATGCTATTGAAGAAAGAAAAAACAGGCAACAAGTCAAATTGTTCAGCGCAAATATTACAGCTTTAAATGGGTGTTCATCACTGTACGTGTATAATGCGCCACCAATGAGCTTGATGTTGCATCCCCATTAAAAGCGGATGTATTATGACAGCCATAAATAGGGACGAGTTATGCACATTTCCGCCAGCGAGGCACATTCCCACCACGGCCGTTCCACGGACCTGTTGAAGTAGCGCGGCTTCCTGGGCCGGTACTTGTCCGACCACAGGTGAGTCTGCTGGCCCAGGTCCGTCTCCACAGAGAAGCGCGCCTCGTCCGAGCCCATGCCCTTCTTGGCCTCCTGCTGGAGGGCCTTCTCCTCGGCAGTGGCCGCCGACTGCCGGAGTGGAGACACAGGGGTTAGACAGACAGACACAGGCTTAGACAGGGAGCCGAGGGTTGGACGGAGGGAGATGGGTAAAAGGAGACAGAGGGGAACTGGTGTTGGGGAGCAGGACGTAGCAGCAGTATGTGTTGTTTCTAGTTACCCTTGCAGCCCCAAACGAGCCCGGCGTGTTCAGCTATCCATAGAGCAACCCTTCAGTTCCAACTCACCACCGTCTCAGCCCAAAGCCCCGACTGCCCTCCCCGTGCTCACTCCCTCTCCCGCCTTCCCAAAGCCCTCTGCCACTGACCTCCACCTCTTTGCCGTGGTTCTGGACCACGCCTCGCGCGTACTGCAGCCTCTGCTCGTCCTCGTTCGGGTCGGCCACCAGGGTGCCCGGCTCGAGCTGATCGGGCTGCAGCAGCGCCGGACTGTACCGGCCGCTGACGTACTCCCGTAGACACGCCGTCACGAGGTCGTCCTCGGCCTCCTCGATACCGCCAGAGACCGCCGACGGCCTGGGAGGGTCAGATGGGTCAGACAGATCACCTACAAGCCACCAGATTGCCATATTCAGTGCCTGCGATATTGCAGACACCATAAATGGTTTGAATGTCAGAACTAACAACCGTTCAATGTTTTAGACAACATTTGAACTCAAAAAATTGTTGGAAGAATATATCGGGTCATGAGAATACGACTTCCTAGTTGGTATAAACGACGAAGTTGCATTTCACAGATTAAGCGCTACACAAGAACAACCCCTACGTAAATCTTCGATGGGCCCCCGCTCGGCGGGCTTCCATGGATAGCTCGGTGGTCCCGTACCGTTTGAAGGCGTCGGCCACCTCCCCGTCGGAGCCGTCGGCGGCCGCGTCCCGATCAGCCGACTGTCCGACGCCCTGGGTCTCCTTCAGAAGGCGCAGCTTCTCCCGCAGGTGGGCCTGGTGCCGGTCCCGCAGCCGCGCACGCGCCAGGTGGGCTGAGGGACGGAGGGAGAGTGTCGAGCGTCACGGAGGGCGTCAGCTCACGGCTGGCTCACAGCTCAACGGGAGCCCACAACTCACGGAGGGTTCAGAGCTCATGGAAGGCTCACATGGAGGGCAAAGTTCGATACAAGAAAGACATACCGGGCGACAAAAATATATGTTCGAGAGAAAGCGTACCGTGCCGTACAGCGACGGCAGCGCGCGGCAAACACAGCCGAGCCTCACCGTCCACGTGGTCCTCTGGGGTCTGCGGGGTCATCTTGAGCGCAAATGTGTGCTGACCGGCCCCAACGCGCCGGGCCGGCCGCCGCCGGCCGGCTCGGCAGTTCGCGGCGAAACGACGACGACGGCGCGGCTGTGTGAACAGTAATTGCTACTGTACGTACCTTTGAGCTGTGTGAGCAGCGATTCCGGCCTCACCTTTGAGCTGTGTGAGCAGCGACTCCCAGTAGCCGACGTCCACTCCCTCCAAGGTGTTCTTCAGCTTGGTCTCGATCTGGGTCTGCAGCGCCGCCAGCTGCTCGGCCGTCTTACCGCGAAACACGTCCGTCACGTCGTGTACGACAGAGTCGTGGATACCGTCACGGCGGCCCACCGCTGTAACAGGGGTGTAACGTCATCAACCACAGAGTCGTGGATGCCGTCACGGCGGCCTACAGCTGTAACGTGACAGGGGTGTGACGTCAATACGTCTTTGCGTCACATAAATACACCCGATAAAGCTACAAAACAGATTTGATAGATAGAGACATCTTTCCATCAACGCCCAACATGCAGTTCAATGGGACCCATAAATTTCTTCAAACCAGCGAGCAATGTTCCAAGCAACTATATGATAATCTATCGGCTGCAAAATACGCAGCCTGTAAATTACTAAGTGGGCTACTTAATCCTTCTGAGTTTCACGAAGCTCCCACCACCTCACTATCTGACCCATCTCTGGGAGCCAGACGTGTCACCCACCTGCCTCCTGGCGAGCCTGCTGGTCCAGCTTCTTCAGCTTGAGCAGCTCGTCCTCGACGATGACGGTGACGTCGCTCCAGAAGTCCTTGTTCTCGCCGCGCTCCAGCTCGCCGTACACCCGGATGTCCTCCTGCAGATCCTCCAGGTCGGCGATCGACAGACCCACCAGGTAGGTGTACGGCTCGTGCACCTCCACGGCGTCCAGCTCCTCCGCCGGACTGATGTACTTGGCCAGAAGGTCGATCGGCTTCGCTGCAGCACGCAAAGAGAAGGTCCCGTAAGATTTCGTTGAAAACTACTGGATAAAACAGCACTCAACTGTGAAAGCGTTCCACCAGATCATTGATGTTATTCAGGCTGACATGACACAAGGACATTGCAACCCAACAAAACGTTACAGCTGCCCATGACAGTTGACACTCGCTCTAAAAATACACATCTTAGGATTCAAAACGCCCATTCCACGGTTACCTAACCTAAGACAACGCGGTCAACCTCGTCCCTCCTGCGAACACACCAAGTCTGTTCTACAAACTCAAGTCGTCCTTTTGCAAACCTACCTCGTCCCTCCTGGATGCGGATTTTGGAGCGCAGGCTGCACTGTCGCAGGTGGAACTGGTCCTCCTGTTTCTCCCACTCTCGGAACTGCTCCGCCTCCTGCTTGCTCTGCATGAGGGCCATCTCCTGCTCGCGCTCGGCCCGCTCTCGCTCTCGCTCCAGACGGCGAGCCTTCACCTGCGGGCGGACAGAGCCGGCGGAGGGTCAGCGCCGGGCGGGCACAGATCGAGTGGTTGAAATCACACTGATATAACGTAAGACGGCTTCGAGAAATTTCATGCTTGACTCAGCTGTGAGCGATTGATCACATGCCACAATCAATGATCCCGAACCTCATAGCATTGAATGTATTACCTTCTGAGAAGGTAACTTTCTCTGACCCTTACCTTTTCCAGCTCCCGTTTGTTCTCCTCCATCTTCTTCCTGTTCATCTTCTCGAGCTCGTCGTTGTCGACGTCGGCCAGCCCCTCCTTCTCCAGCTTCTTGCCCCACCTGAACGTCTCGAGCAGGTTGCTGTCGCCGAACGGGTTGTCCTCGTTGGTGTAGTGCAGGTACTCCTGGTCCCAGCCCATGCGCTCCTTGCGCCGCCTCTCCTTCTCGGCCCGCTTCTGCAGGCGCCGCTGCCGCTTCTGGGCCGGCGTCTCGGCCGCCTTCATCGCCTCCTTCTGGGCGCGCCGCTCGGCCTTTTTGCGCGCGCGCTCCTCCTCCAGGCGGGCGAGCAGAGCGCCAGGACTGGCCGACCGGCTGGACGCGGAGCTGGAGCTGCTGCTGCTGCTGCTGCTCGAGGAGGACCTGCCAGAGAGTGAGTGTTAGGGATTCGGTACCTTGCAGGACATCAAAGCACTAAATGTTGTAAGCATTCAAACAGGGCATGTTCAAACAAGGCTAAAAAAGGAAGCAAGCGTCGCATTTTGTTCACATGCCTACCTTTTTCTCGACTTCTTGCTCTTTTTCTCCTTCTTCCTGTCATGCCGTTTGGTTTTGTCTGGTAATGGCGAGCGCCGCCGGTCGGGCGAGCGGCCCCTGCCGCCACCCCGCGCCCGGCCCGCTCCCCTGTCGGCGCGCGAGCCGTCCCTGTCCCGAGACCGGCGCGCGGGAGAGTCTCGGCGGTGGCGGCGGGGACTGGTGGAGCCCGATCGTCGCGCCCGACGCCGGTCGTCCGAACGGCGCGCCGGACTGGTCGACGTCGAGCGGCGAGCACGTGACTTATGCTTGGAGCGGCTAGTGGCGGGCGAATGGGAGTCACGTGATCGCCCCCGCCGTCGGTGGGAAGACCTCGAGTCAGGAGAGCGACCCATGCCTGCTGAGCTGAAACAAAAGAATATTCTGTGAAAGCTGTTAAATATAGGAACAAAGAGGTTAAGGTGGATCCAAAAACCAAAAAACCATTTTATGAGCTTTAAATACCAAATTAGTGCCATGGAATCTAAAACTACTCAGCTTCAGCCTCATGAGTTTCAAATGTCAAAGTTGGAATTAAAGGGACCCTCCCACCTTAACATTAGTTTTGAGTTGAGATAGCCAAATTGGTGGCCATGGCCTGAAAATACCGGTTTGGGCACTCACAACATCGAAAAATGCTTTAATTCGGAGATATGGAATTTCAAACTTGCAGTTTTCGGATTCTAAGGGGCTAGCGCATTGGAATGCCCCCTTAGAATTTGTGACGTCAGCGGAGATCTAACGATTTTTTTAATCTTTTACTAAAACGTTTGGTAGCACGCGGTGGTATATGCTGCTTTGCGCGCAACAAATGCCGCACTTTCAAATAAAGTCGCCAGGAACAGCGGAGATCCCAAAAAGTAAGCAAAAGTAACAGTCTAATATCTTGAAAACCGGTGAATATTTTTCGATGAAATTTGGTAGATATTCGTTTTCACTCTTTCTGAACCGAGCGACATCACTTTCATGCCAATTCATTAACTTTTTTGAAGGTGGGAGGGTCCCTTTAAAGCCTTCCAAGTTTGTTGGTCTTTTGGGCCTTGGGGTAATACCAAATTTTCAACCTTGAAACCTAACACTATCAAAAACTTTACCCTGGGCCATGGGGTACCTAAGGAATTGAGGTTTGAATTTTGATTAACAGTTACTAGTGTCTCAGCAACCAGCAACCTTCATATTAAGTCTCCTGAGGGCTGTTCACGGGCCCTGTGTGCGGTCGGGACTGTACACAGGCTCCAAGCTCTGCCCACTGCGTCCCTGCGTCAGCCTTCCGTCACCGCACACAGCTACCGCTGTGGCCGGTCGGGACTGGCCACAGCAGACCGTCCACCACACGCAGCCGTGATGTCAGACCCGCCTACCCAATCCCATCCCCTACCCCCACGCCTGCTGCACACACCACACACACCACACTCAGCAGTTTGCGGTGCCCGTGAACACCCCTCTGCTTCATGACAATTGCTGTCTGGACTCCTTTCCTCATCACATATGCCATACCAAACTGGTCAAAATCCAGCCATTTCTTTGGGACCTCCACAGATCCAGGATGCTTGCTGCTTTGATTGAGGACAAAGCTTGGCACGAGCTTGTGAAAATTTATAGCAATACTCATCTGTTAATGTTTGTGTTAGGTAGCGATGCCTGTTCGTCAATTTATTTGGCATTGTGCACCACTGCAACTTGGTACCCCAAAAGAATATTCAACAAGCATAAGTGTCTATAATCATATCTAACAGTCTGTTCTGAAACTCAAATACTGTTATTTTTCCTTACACAGCCTTAGTTAACCTAGTCCAAACTTAAGTTCATTTGTTTACAACTAATTTGCCTAGTTTTGGTCTGGATTAAATTTTTTAACAAAATACAAGGTAAATGATTTACCTGCAACACCCGCAACTGCAACAAAAAAGCAGGAAATCCCACAAATTCAACAAACGTTCCGTTTGACTCAAATCGTTTGACTCAAACGACTCAAACTCACAAGTATAGGTATCTTGCTCACAAGTGGAAAGCGAGTTGCTGAAATTTTGTTCGATCTGAATGTCTGTAATAGCTGCTGAAGCAAGTTGCCAAGCAACAAGTGGGAAAAATGCGATTTTGATCGCAGTTGCTAGGCGATTTGCTAATTATCACACTGAAATTGTTTGAGCTGAACACTGACGACAATTGAGAATTGATTACTTGGCTTGTTGGATAAATCGAATAGCGTTCGCAGTTACGGGAGCGGAAGGACGTGTGATCGGAAAGCTCTTGATTGTGATCGGCGAGGCCGGGAAGAAGGAAGAGGACTTTTTAAGTCCAATTTGTTTTTGTTTATTCAATTCTTTTGGAGAAGCATCCATTTTTCTTTTTCTTCCATTTCGTTTTGATTAATTGTCGGGTGGAAGCTCGGCCACGTGGTGAGTCACAATCGCCTCAATGAGTGATTGGGATCCATTGCGGAAGTGTAGGCTGGTGTGTAAATGATGGGGACACCCAGAGCTACAAAGAGGTCTAGAGTAGATAACATGAGAGAGACCTTTTGGGGTGATGAGGACTCGGGGTTATACCTGAGTGTCACCCTGAAGTCAGGGAGTCCGATCAAGGGTAAAGGCTGGCCTTGGGTTCAGACTTGCATTAGGGGCATCTTAGGAGGACAAGACCGAGTATCAAAGGCGACATTTCAGAATGATGGGAGTCTGTTGCTGAAAACAAAAAATGAAAGGCAATCTGACAGACTGCTGAAAGCGACAATGTTCGGAAGTGAGGAGTGCAGTGTTCAGAAAGCAGAGAAACTTAACACGAGCAAAGGCACTATCTATGCCTTTGACCTGACTGAACTTACTGAACAGGAGGTAGTGGGATGGCTCCAGGAGTTTGGAGTGGTTGGAGCGAAACGGGTGACAAGGAGGGTGGGAACTCACAGGGAAAACACCCCTCTGCTCATCTTGACATTTGACAAGCCAACGTGCCCAACACAACTACATTTTGATTATGCATAGGCGTAGGAACGTTTTCGAAAGTGGGGGGGCCAGGGTCCCAGAGGTCCAAAACCTAACCTACCCCCAAAATCTGATTTCTCCTCGGATTTCGGCCACTTTGTTTTCGCAAACATGCTCAGAGGTAAAAAAAAATCGAGACAAAAAAAAAGAAAAAAAAAATGGTTGAAATTTCAGGGAGTCTCCCGTCCATAAACTCAAACTGATGGACGCGTTCCCCTGTCCTCCGCAGCCGTTGGCACCCATGCAAATTCCAGAGGCATCCAGCAACTTTTTCATTACGAGCAAGCGTGAAACGTGCAAAGCGAGTCTTTTCAATATACCTATAAAAATCAGCATGAACGGCCCAGCTAGGCTCAGCCAGGCCTATAACGTTTTTAAGAGGTTTTATATCAGCGACCACTGCAACTGGGCTGATTGACTATCACTTATCAGAGGCCGGTGTCAGGTGTGGGACTTTTAGACGGTCTGGGCCTTCAGAGGCCAGTTTAAACCTCCACGGCCCGGTCCTATAGGTTTTCTACATAAGCGCTTCGCCGTTTCGCCCCAGGTGGAGCTAGCGCGTCGCGGTAAAACGAGCGTGTGCGCCGTTACGAGACGCAGAGATTGATACCCGATTTTATGGTCCTAGGTCAACCGGTGACCTCTGACACCGTTCCGTGCTTCTATCCTCAGGATACTGAAATCCTTCTCCTCCACACCGCAACCCCCTCCGGGCTGGACAGGCAACTTTATCTCATGCGGGCTGCTCCCTTGGAGCGGCACCGCTGCTCCCGAGGGAGCGCACCCCGTAGCCGGGTGCAGTGAGTGCCTTGGGGCTGGGTGGCCTGTCCTCTGGACGGGCTCAGCCCCGGCGACTCACTAGGGTGCCTGCCCAGACCAATGTCTCCCCCTATATCCTATCATCCTTCCGGCTCTGAAATGGTCTCATTGGACCGAAAGGGCCTAACCCAACAAAACAAACAAAAACCGGTGACCTCTGAGGTCAGGTCAAGTGCCTCAAGGCACGGTTCCGTTTTTGGTGAATAACTTCGCAAAAAATGGCCGCAAAGCCGCGATTTTGCCAGCATCGTGTTCGCCTCTCTCAGGCGCGTCGAATGATATACTTTTTGTTTGGGTGAGGTAAACTTAGGGTGTTGACCTCGGGTCACGGTCAGGTCGGCGTCCCCAGGTCACGAAATTGGTCGAAGGAGGTCATGTCGCATATCATTCGATTCGGCAGGTCTCCTTGAGTCCATAGGTGGCTTTCCCGACTCGCTAGCTCAATTTGATCGGTACCTAGTTATTGACGAAAAACTAATAAGACCCTTATAACTTCATAAATGACGTCGCGCAAGGTCAACATTGCAAAAGTGACGCATCGAACCTTGCAAGGAGTGCATGAAATCACGATTCGGTGTGCTTGAGATAGTTGGAGATCGATCGTTCCCGGCGCCAGAAAAAGTTTTCAGTTTATCCCCATTGACTTATACCTAATGGTGAGGTCACGAAAATGACCTGACCTCATATGAACTTTAGGAAAAACCCGAGATATACACTATACAAGTTGAGAGACTCCTATTGGATACTAGGTCCTCCAAGGTTCATTTCCCTGTGAAATCTCCTCTGGCAGTGAGGGCGTTGCGAAGTTGCGACATCTGAAGACCGTGCAGAGGTTCACTTATGACCACATGGGTCAGTGACCTGATCTGACCCGAAAATGCGGTTGGTGTCAAAAGATCCCGTTTGATTCAAAGGTCAGGTATGCCAAGCTTCAGCTCTCTATCGCCGGCGTGTTCGGAGCTATCGCGAAAAAAAAACTATGGAGGGGCGGCACCCGCCCCCCCCCCCCCGGCCGGCGAGGGTTAAGGCCCTCAGAGACCAGTACAGGGCCTGCATAGGGCAGGATGAGACCTTAAGATGCCGACTTGGGCCATCAGAGGCTAATGTGGGTCCTTACAGGCCAGTATGGGCCCTCAGAGGTCAGTGTGGGACCCTAAAATGCCGGCATGGGCCGGTGTTGGACCCCAGAGGCCAGCAGAAGACCCTCAAAAACCAAGATGGGCCTCAGAGGCCAGCATCGGGTCTTCAGAATCCAGTGCAAGGCCCTCAGAGACTAATGCTTGTCCTTACAGGCCAGCATGGGCCCTTAGAGGTCAGTGTGGGGCCGTAACAGACCGGCATGGGCGGGACTTGGAACCTAGAGACCAGCGGAGGGCCCTCATAGGCCAAGGTGGGCCCTCAGAGGCCGATGCGGACCCTTGGAGACCGGCATCGGAACTCCGGAATCCAGTGCGGGGCCCTTAGAGGTCAATGTGGGACCCTAAAATACCGGCATGGGCCGGTGTTGGAACCCAGAGACCAGCAGAAGGCCCTCAAAAACCAAGATGGGCCTCAGAGGCCGGCATCAGGTCTTCAGAATCCCGTGCAAGGCCTCATAGGCTAATGTGGGTCCTTACAGGTCAGCATGGGCCCTCAGAGTTCAGTGTGGGGCCCTAAAAGACCGGCATGGGCCGGCGTTGGACCCCTCAGGCCAAGGTGGACCCTCAGAGGCCGATGCGGACCCTTAGAGGCCGGCATCGGGTCTTCAGAATTCAGTGCGGGGCCCTCAAAGGCACCTAAAGGCTAGTCTTGGGACCCCAGAGACAGAAATGAGGCCACCAGAGGCCGGTGTGAGGCCCTCAGACGCCGGCTGGACCCTTGAGGCCGGTTTAGGGGCCCTCAAATGAGGTCAATGTGGGTTCTCAGCGGTCAATGTGGTCGCTTGACCGCCACTGAAGGGCCCTCCGAGATCAGTGTAGGACCCTCAAAGACTGGTTTGGGAGCTGTTAATAGCTAGCGTGGGATTCTTGAGTCTCGTGACAATCGAATAAGGGCCCATACGCCCATGGGGGCCCATTGGTTGTTTGGGGGGGCCAAATGATATGATGGCCCCCTGATTAGCCTTTGGAGGGGGAAGGGCATGGCCCTGATCCCCTCTGCGACCGCCACTGCACTGAAAGTGGAAGGGGGAGGGGCAGAAACAGACATTGCTGGCCCCCAGCCTGTTTGAACCGAGGCTGAGGCACGGTCACCCTGGCCCCCAGCTAGAACGCCTTTGACGAACTATGCCGACCCCAAGCAGATAAGGTCAAGCGTTGGTCGTTTGTATACGCATTCTCCTGCACCGTGCTAGTATTGTCTTAGTATTGCCTATACCTTTTTAGTGCTCGCTGTCCAGGGGCGTCGCCGACGGGGGGGTCGGGGGGTCGTGACCCCCCCCACTCTTGAAAACTGGGGGTGTCGACCCCCCCCACTTTTTGCGATGCTGAGTATGCTTTTTTAGCTTTTATGTCAGTGAAGCAGGCGTCAGCAACACCAACAAATACATCAGACTCAAAATCGCTTCAAGAGCTCCCTAAAGCCAATTAGCCAATTACCTAAAGGTCAATTAGCTGTGGGCGGGGAACACCAGCACAACAATGTTTTTAAGTAGCCCCCATCCTAGTACCTTTTTATCCCTCAAAGGATTGGACGCGCCAAAACTGCCCCGAGCGTTCGTCTGATCGTTTTAAAAAAATGGTCGCAGTCGATTCGTCGGATCAGTACCTACTAACTACAAAACTACAAACTAGCCTCAGCCCCATGGCTACCGTCACAAACTAGCTGTACAGTGCACATGTAGGGGAAAGGGAGTCAGATGGAATTCCGTCTCGGGCTTTCGCAAAGAAGTCGCGCAAAAAGGAGCCGATTGCAACAAAACTTCCGGTGCGCTCGAGTTAATCACCTACTTAAAATAAATCGATATCCCTGATTCAAATAAAGATGACCTTAGTTCACTTTTTCATAACGTGCTTTTAATTGATAGGGTAGTTTTTGGAGCTGATTTTGAACTTAGCGCCCATCTGAACATTTAAGAAGTAGTTGTGTTGCTTATTCATATAACATGCTAGGAAGCAATCGGTGGTGGTCATCCACTATTAGGTACTGGTCGATCTGACCTGACCTGATCTACCCCAAATGCATGGAGTCATCATCTTCGTTCAAAACTAAGATAACATTCGTAATCAGAACCTCGAAAAACCATCACAACTTACATTCGTTAAGTTCTAGCAGGTCCCGAGTTTCTCTACTTATTGGCGATGACCTGAGTCCTGAGATGACCCGAAAACTTGTAAATGGGTATCATCGGCTTTCTCTCGTCACGGGCAGCATGCTCTTTTTTCCGCAAACCTGTAGATCGATCAGGGGTCGAAAGCATGCCTCAGCGTTAGTTAAGTATGCGTTATACGTTAGCGACTGGGAAACCAGCAATAGAAGGGCTACAGTGAAGCAGAAAACTATTCGATAGCTCTTTTAACGCTCTTTCGCTAGCTTCGCGTTAGATTTCATCTCAGGTCTATGTTTGGCCCATAAGAAGGCAAACAGCTAACTGGACAGATTCTGCCGAAACATCTGCTTTG